TCGTATATTCGCAGGTTTAGTTTACATGGTTGGCGTCAATAATAAATCAACCTGCGAAATTTACAATAATCGGCTTATAAGAAATATTAACTCTGGATTGCTAATCACGAAATGATTGTCGATTAAAATTAATATGGTTTTACATATACATATGCATAATGAAAGATTATATATAAACAGCGGATGCACACAAACCGCAAAATGCAATACCATCGGTCAGTAATTTGTGCAAATAATATTACAGAATTACCTGTTTCTTTTAACCTCGATTTCACCCAGACATGTCTTGCAATAGAAAGTGTTGTATTTAATGACATGAAAAGTCATTTACATTATCTATATATATTTATATTGCCTATATAGTTAAGTCTTTTATAGATATACAAAACGATAATCGTATAAGACCAGAACTGTATGTGGCTAAAGATAAACGCCAGACAAGTAAAGCTTCGTCTGTGCCGTTCAGAAACATTTCCGAGGAGTCATAATAGCGGAAGTCTCGAATCCTGTCCCTCAGAAATCCCAAGCATATAGGTATCGAGGGGGAGAGGGGAGAGCGACGGGCTTTATTCGGGATTTCCTGAAGTCTACGTGTGGCGGGGTGGCGCGGGCTCAGGTCTTGCATGTGGGAAAACGCGAGTAGGCAGGCGTGTGTATACGTGCGTGCCTGTCCCTTGCGTGTGTATGGGCGCGTGATAGTATCGGTGTTCCAGCGGCGCTTGGGAGTACCTAATCTCGCGCTTCCTAATGGTAAACCGGGGGTGCTTGCAGGGTTGCTTAGGCGCCCGGCGCGCTCTCTCGAACCGAGTATATTACACTTACTACTGCAGAAGTGATACCGAGCCAATGGGCAAACACAAGTAAATCAAGATTGCCAGTGATTTGTGGCGGCCGGAGTGCCCCGGTGAGTTCGGGCCGTGAGTTTCGTCGCTCCCTGATACCGGAAACGGCCGTTTCGGCCACCAGATAAAGGTGCTTCTATGGGGAGCGGCAACGACGACGACGACGACGACGACGACGACGACGATGACGACGATGTCGACAACAACGACAATATCGACGACGATGACGACGATGACTACTTCACTGGTACATAGATGCGACGTTTGCCGTTTAGGCATATCAGGCTTTTAAGCATAATACACGCTTAATCATATTACGGTGATACACGGAAAGAATGATTTTGTTGAAAGGTCTAAAAATTTTGCTGAATACAGATCTGAAAATAATTGTTGTTCAATAGCCAAAGTAATTTGTTGGAAAGTTAAAAATGATAGGCATTGCTATAAAACGTTTTGATATTCTAGCAATCATTTTGACTTTCCAACAAAATTATTTTGATTATTGAACAATAATTATTTTCTGATCTGGATCCAGTAAAATTGTTCTTTCCGTGTAGATATGCAAATATATGTAGGTGAAATATGAAGCAATAATTTTTTTGCAAGATTATTCATAAATTATATAACAATATATTTTCTTTGGAAGTTTGGAAACTTTTGTGTTTTGATTTTCTCTTAGATTCACCATGATATGATAATAAAAAATATGATATAAGACGTTAATATTAATGATTTAAACTGAGTGATTTTACTTTATATTATTTGTGTTTAACGAGAATTCAATTTCAATATATATCAATAGTACATAGTACGAGTATAACTTTTCTAATTTTAAATATTTTATAGGTGACAAAAGAAAGTAAAGTTTTAGAATTTTACAATATAATTAGAGTCTATAAATACTTATTAATATTTGATATTTTCTAGATTTAAGTGGAGTTTAATTTAAACGTAATTAATTATATTATAAATACCACTATATCCTTTCCTTAAGCTTGAATGATTCTGAGATATAGACGACCTAGCCATGCTATTCCCTGATGAATAAAAAGGTTCATCTAAGAACGATTTATCCGACGGCATCCGATGCGCCCTTTCTTTCATCTAGATGCAAGTCTAAAAGTTCGACGAGGAGACGCGCGTACGTGCAACAGGTGGCCCATAAAGCGTGCACGTCCGTTTATCAAGGACGAACGAGTGCATTCGTATTGACTGATGGGTGTTAAGGTCCATTGTAACGGTGATGTGATCTGTACGTATCAGCCCTAAACTTGAGCGACAGGAGTGACGATTACTCGCGCTGTTTCTCACGTGATGAAATCTCATGAAGTCGGCCGACTTGTAGCGGCACGCTCTTGTCCGTTACTCGTATACTCTAAATTCTAGCCGCGAAATGTATAGTCAACAATATTCTTCTTAGTAACTAACAAAACTTGACTTTAACTGTAACTTGAAAATATGCCTGATATTAAATAATTTTACGATTTATAAAGCTGTATATGTATAATCAAAGATTCTGGCATAAAATCTGAAGTTTTAATAAGCACACATTTTGCGCGCGAATTTGATTATTTTAATTATGTGATTAATATATTGTAATTTGATATTTATATATTATTTATATGTCAACGACAAGTTGATAATTTTCTGTTATATTATTGGCAATATCAATGTTATTAGCTCGTATAAAATTGCAGTCTTAGAAATGTATTAGATATAAATACAGATAGTTATATTCAAGAATAGTTAGTTGGCATTCATATTTTTATCTGACGTAATTACATAGACTTCCTTGCAATATCGTAAGAATAATCTTGCGCACGAGCAGTGAGATGGTGGAAAGAAATGTCACAAAAGAGCTATTGTCGTCGAAATATATCTCGTGGCAATAGAGCTGCGAAGATCGCAGATCGCGGACGGTCGCGCGCGGCTGGCCGCCGGGAGGTTGGGAAAACTTTTATTAGCGAAGTGTCTCATTAGGCGGATTTCATACCGGCGTTTGGGGGAAAGGTGAATGCGCCTTAAGGACGAAGGGACGGAGGGGGGACGCGGGACTCCTGGAGGATACACCTCGGCGAATTCGCAGACAAGGTGGGCCCACCGAGGCTCTGCATCACGGCCCCTCGCGGCTTGCCCCACGACGATAGTAAAAACTTTTACAGTCCTTATAATTATGGGTAATTCGCGGTAATTAACGAGGCTGGACGGAGTCACGCCGGCAATTTTCTGAGTAATATTTCTGCGACGATAATATCGCGCTTCCCCCGTACGCCACACCGGCGTACCACCCTCGCGGTTGCCCTCCTCGCCCCTCGCGTCGCTCCCTCACCGCGCGAGGATATCAGGATTAAGAGTCCTGCCGCTACGTTCTTCGGGGATTTCCCGATCGAAGAGGACGTCGCTCGGAAGTTTCCCCTCTGTGTCGATGAAAACTGCGGACGGCGGCGCGCGCTAAATTTCCAGGGCAAAAGTTACCTCACCGGTGACTTCGGCGCGAAATCATATATTTCTTGTCGTTCGGATTGTAAATGTCGAAAAATGAAACGGTTTAACATAAGTTCTTACTCGTAAGCAATTTATACGATATATACATATACGTCAAAAAATAATTGCATTGAAATTAAATTATATTACTCACATACTTATCCCCTTTTTATTACATATATTCGTATCTTAATTTAATTCACATCTTGTGGAAAAAAAAACCTCGCACTTTTGGGATCTGTAATCGTCATTTTGTATAAAATGAATCGCGTGACTCGCTCTGGTACAGACGTCGAAGAAGTAGCGCATAAAAAGCAAATCACGGTTGAGAATCAGTGTGGTTAAGTCTCCCGCCTCTTCCGTTCTTCGTAATCAAATCTGACTACCGCCCAATAATACGGATTAATGCTGAAAATCGTCCGACGATTCGCCGATTTCGAGACCACTTACGCGTTCCTTAACGATCCGGGCCGATCCTCATGCCGCGTTACCGCGACGCTCGTATAAAAGGAAGCGAAGGGGAATCTCGTCGTGCTCTCTTTGCGCCGGGCATCGCGCAGTAAAGATCCCCCGAAACATATCCCCGCGTCGTATACGCTCGCCGGTAAAACCGAAGCATAAGCGCACCGCGCCGGGATACACGCAGCCGCAATGAATGCAAGTACCAGGCTAATTTCTAATAAATATAAAGAGAGTCTCTTTCTCTCTCTCTCTCTCTCTCCTTCCTCGTCCCTTACCGTACCCGCCGCATCTCCGTTGCATGAGGACTAGATATCACTCCGGCAGTGCATGCTTCGTACCGAGATTACCCGAGATATTCAAATAAATTCTCTCTCCTTCCAGTCGTTCCCTCCGCTCTCCCTCTCCCTCCCCCCTCCCGCCCCGTTTTCTCCTCGTGTCTATCCCTCCCCCCCTTCCCCCGTTTCCTCTGTTCCCTCCTCCGTGGAGCAACTCGAATGCGCGAGGTACGCTCGGCAGATTTGCGAGGGACTTTGGCGAACTCTGTGGACGCACGAGCGGCAATCTGCAAGGATCTCCTCTTCGAATTTATTTTATCGTTTCTGCTGGGAATGACGTTCCGTAACGAGACATAAATTCGCAAAGTCGGGGTAAACAGGGCCGTACGTAATGCGACCGCGCGCCGGGTTCTTCCGCGAGCACGACATCCGCACGAGTTTACAGTCTCGGCGACAAATCGGTAAAAGGCGTGTACGCGTGTATACGGGCTTCAATTTATGCCGTCCCTTTGCACATGCGATCGTTACGACAGTGCTCCTTAGAGCGCTTTTAATATCAACTTATGCCAACATCTTTTAATTAATTCCGCTGCATCTCATTATCTTTATCTCCCATCCTCTTTACTTCTTTTGACTGTAGTTTTATTCTGAAATTCGAGAAAGAAATCGCGAAAAGCAATTTATATTTTCGCTGATCTTAGAAAATTTTAGAAAATATCAGAACAGACATAGAAATTGTAAGTTTTGTACGAGAACTAGATTTCTTATTATTATAAAGTAAGTTAAGTTTATGCGCCGAAGGCTTTTCCTCTGATTATTAAAAAGAAACCGGATTGTAAATGAAATTAGTTAATGTACGTAATTAATTTGGTAGAAAAAATTCACGGACGTGTAGTAATAGTGGTAAAATATTGAACTTTCATTTGGACGATTCCAGACAAGGCGGTGCAGAGGATTTTCCTTGCCTTTTCATGAGATGTGAGTCTCGGTCTGGTAATTCGATCATTCGTATTCCCTGGCCAACCCCGGGTCTTCTCGACATCGGGCGATTGCGATTTCGTAACAGTTGCGACAACGATTCACCACGATGTTGTACGGCCAGAAGAGATTTCAGTGAAACCTATTTTTGCCGGGAGGAGCGAGAAGAGTTTGATAAGCGACTTATATAACGCACTACTATCGCAATCGCTGACATTGATTCGGCGAGAGAGCCAATCGTACGATTAATTTTTGTCATTAAATATAAATCTTAACGTATTTCATCTATGAAATATATGAAGAAATAAAATGTGTGTGTTTAATTTATTGGAACTAATTGAAACTAACTACATCTTTGGATTTAACAGTATTTTGCAACAAAAACTTAAGTGAAGAGATTTTTAGAATAGATATTTAGAAAATGGAAGCAGCTTCTTTCTTTTAAAAGGGCTGGAAGGGAGCTCGAATAGCTAATATAATGTGGCAGTTTGTATTCTTTGATCGAACTGCGCGTCAAGTGACAGTTCTTTGCACGCTGTTATCTCGCCCTCGATATATAAAATCGTCGTAAAAATAATTAATTTCCTTCTTCGCTGCATTTAATTTGCAAACGATGACACATTTGTATTTTATGATGAAAATAAAATTAGACGAAGACGATTCAATGGTCCAATCATCGCACAATTAAATAAGTATCTATCCGTCTTGTAAGACGGATGTTTAATTTTTACTGAAAGCTCGTCTAATCAATTGTCTAATAACCGTCTGGAAAATATAGTTTATTTTATTCATATAATCAAATAGAGCAGATCATCCGCCTTGGTATGAATTGAAAGAAAATACGAGAACATTGGCTTCTTCGTCTCTCAAGAGCGCGAGATCACGATGGGCGGGCTTTTGACCTAAGATCGTAAGACGAAGACGAGGACGGGGACGACGGTAATTCGATCGTTCGTATTCCCGGAGATCGGTCGACGTGCGCCCTCGCGCAACAACAGTTTCCATCGGACAGTTGACGATGTGTCGCGGCGGTTCGCCACCCACGTCCCCGTTTCCCCCGCCGCCCACCACAAAGCGGACACATACACTGACGGTTGGCCGCTTGCACGGTGAGCTGAACTCAGCCCCCGTGGGGGTTGGTTGGTGCCCTCTCCTTCTCTCTCACCCTCGTTCCGCTCGTACGTTCCTTCTCATACCGTCTCTCTGCCTCTCTTTCTCTCTCTCTCCCACGCGCTCGGTTCGCCTAGATACGGGGTGACCGAGGGGGGGGGGATCGGAGAGACGGGGGATGGTGCTGCCGCTGCTGCTCGGTATAAGCCAGTGCGCGTCAATAACCGTCCATCAGATGTAATAGCTCCCCGAGACACATCGGTTGCATTTAAATGGCTGCTTAGCCGACTCTGTCTCGACGCCGACGTGGATCTATGGAATTCCATCAAGCTCCACGGGATCCCTTATCGTCCTAACCGGGTCGTCGCGTCTCGGTCCAAGCACCCCCCAGACCCAAACCTCCCTCCCTCTCTCTCTCTTTCTCTCTCTCCGCCTACTCTTCTCTCGCCCACCCGCTTGCTACTGCGATTTTCTTTGCTGTTCCTAAGGAGCGCGCGCGTTCGCGGTTACTTTCTTTTTCCCGGAGACGCGTAGGACGGCGGAGGACGGGAAAAAGCGGGGGAAGAGTCGTTCTGCCATTCTGCTTGCGCTCGTTTCTTCCGAACTGAGGTTCCTTTGTCGAACCACTGGACATTCCGAGGGAAGGAAATTTGATCGACATCCTGCCTTCGACGCGGTTTCTTTCGTATTATTCGTTTCTTGAGAAACGAACAATTCGTATGAATTGGAGAAACGAACTCATCATTTTTCTTAATAACAGTTTCAATTTTTAATAAATACCGAATATATAGAGTATATTTTCTCCGCCCGACTAAATTAAATAATTTATTTAAATTAAAAGAACTTATAAAGAATGAAAGAAAGAGAGAGAGAGAGAGAGAGAGAGAGAGAGAGAGAGAGAGAGAGAGAGATTATGTAAAAGTAGATATATAAAAATATTTATGAGGTTTTAATTTTACCTAGATGCAATTACCTTACATTATACACAAGACTGTATAAAAATATTTTTGAAATACATTTTTTATTTTACTGTCTCTTAAAAAAATAAGTAAGCGGCTTTTGATAGCGTCATAATTTTATGCTTAATTGACCATTAAATTAAAAAATCCTACATAGCTCTAATTTAGTTTCCGTTTATGGAATTTACTGAGGTGTGATTATATGCACGTCAATTATGCAAACATTTGCGGTAATTTTAACGAAATGCAATCAAATATTAATCACTCTCATATTTTCTTGGCGAGCGCAATTAGGCGACTCGAGGAACTAACTCAGAAGTTTCACCACCTTGCAGTTTACTTTTAATTCTTCGTATCCTCCTGGTGAGGCGTGACAACGAGCGTCCTTGAGTTCCGGTGGTCGCTTTTTCCTCGAGATCGAAGAGTCACGAAGCAGACGGTCGGAGTCAGGGTAACAACCGACGGCACGGGTTAAACCCGCTGACTGCGAGGTTCCTTGATTGGCTCCATCCGCAGACCTACGTGCTCGTCACAACAGTTCATTCCGGGGGCGCGTCCCTGCACCCCAGCTTTCTGCGTCACCCTAGTCCCGAAATATCGGAATTTCCAAGTGAAACGCGCGCGCTCTCTCTCTTTCTCTCTCCTCCCTTCGTCGCTCGCGCGCCCTGAGGGTTTAAACTGCTAAATGGCTTCCTAACGCGGAAATGATCGGTGCTGTTGAGTTCATTATTGTTCGTTGAGCTTGAATATGTAATCGGACGTTTTGCACGTGATTATATTTATCACATTTTGACCAAACGCACGAATTTTTATATGCAAAACAAAATTTAAAAAATTTTTATAAAGAGATTTGAGATCGAATTTTGTTCATGATGTCTCTATTTAAAAGTTTAATTTAAAATTTTCGAGCATAAATGGTTAATGCGCATTTTAATATTTCATATTATATTGCGTTTTACATGTCATTTAAAAAATGTAAAATTCATAAATTTGATATTTTTAATATCGATGGTGTTGAACTTTGCTCATTTTTATTAACGAAAATATTAATCACAAGCTTTTTTCATGAAAGTATTTTCCACAAAACGAAATGACGCGCTAGGTGAAAATATTTTTTCCTTTATAACCTGATTCATTTTTGCATTCATCTCTCTTAACTAATTTAATTTTAAAATTTTTAGAGTAACAACTGTTTAAGATTTAAATAAAATTCAAAATATATCTTCTAAAATAAAAAAATAGAAATACATAGTTTTCAAACTATAGCTTTTGTATGTTGCTCATGTAAATGAGATAGTGCCGTTCATCGCGGACAGTGTTGGGCACGAAAGGCTTAACGATCGAAGTGATCTTTATATGAGCGATACGAGATTATCCTGGTGAGATTCGCGCGACAATTTACGACGGTATCGTTACGCGCGCGAAGCGAGCAAGGGGGACGTTACATCCAATCCTGTTCGAATTCACGAGGGAGGCTCTCGCAAGGACGGCCGCCGAGCGTTTGCAATCCACGGAACTTGGTGGCCGCACCGGGCGGAGAACTCGTTCATCTGGACGACACCCGCGAAACCGGGCGACTACTTTCGCGTTATTGCTCAATGTATAATAATTTGGGGGCAGCCGAGCGACGGACACCGTTCGCCTCCCTCTCGTGCCGCGGCGAACTTAATCCCTCGCGGGGGCAGAGCGGGTGGGAGGGCGTGAGAAGGGGGAGGGAGGGGATGGTTAGCCGTGCCCGTTTTACCCGCGGCATCGCTCTCTGCGGAGGGTCGTCGAGGTGGCGGTGTTCGGGGGACAGAAGCGCGCGGGGGGAGAGGGTGGCTACAGGCAAAAGGATCTGCATGGCGGCTCCACCGCGTCGCAAATCACTTAAACTGCGGCTGGAGCTACGCGAGGGCGAGCTCGACTCCGGCAAGGGGGTGGGTGGAGGGAGGGTCGGCTGGATAGTCGAGGATGCAGGAGACGAGGGAGGGCGTGGGTGGTAGAGGTGTAGGAGGAGGGTGATTATAAGACCGCTCGGGGTTGCTGGCTAGCGAGGTAGTACCATCCGTTATGACTATAAATCTAAGATAACAATAACGTCCCCCGCGCCTCCACGCATCCCCTTCGCTCTTTCTCGCTCGCGCGCCCCAGCCCGCGCTGGTCTATCTTTCTCCTCTTTACGCCCGTCACCTCCCCTCCCCTTCCCACCCCTCCCTCCCTCCGCGCAACTGTACCCACCCTCGCTCGTTCGCTCTGACCCCTTTGCCTCTCCTCTCTCGTTTGTCCGGCGGGCATTAATGCCCGCCTGCGCCGAGCTGCTCGCCGGCCATTCGACGCACGTGTCCTGGCCGCCGTTCGCTCGCGTGCAGCACACACGCGTCATCGTATCGACATTAACGCCACGACATGTTCACCGTTCACGTCCGCGAACGCGACGACAGAGACGAGAGTTCGTAGAGAGACGGAGTTAAGCCTGATCGCGATTAGGAGAGTTCCTTTTGCGGAGTGTCGAAACCGCCGCACCCGTGATGAGAGCGAGCGTGAGGTTCCGGCATAACGTCAACTTGCTTGTAGACAGTATTGTGTGTAAAATGCATTACGATGCACAATCGTAGAAATAATTATATCTTACGTTTGTGTTATATAATTAAACAGAATTGCTCCCTGTATTTATAAAATGTTTCTTCAATACTTAAATTTATAATTATTTCTTCTTATTATTTATATACTAAAAATTGCTGAATTGAAAGTACGTTAAAGTACTTAAATCAAATATAATAAATATGTAGCATTCTGTATAGATAAATCACTATGCAGATACAAAAAGAATGTAATGTGAAATATACCCACAGCGGAGCTTTTAAGCTGTTACGCTCTTCGACAAATATCGATGATACAGTATGTCACAACTTGTTTAATAAATTATGAATGTTACGAAACAGTATGACAACAGCAGTTCTCTGAGTGACGTAAATACTAATAATAATAATGATGATAATGTGGATATTATATCAATTCAAAGGGGTATCAATGCGTTCGGATCGACATCGAAACGGGAGTAAAGCGAAATAATGCTTCAGGTGACGCGTTAATTTTATGGTTTATTATAAGATATGTTATTACTATCGGATCCGGCAGGTCGTGAATTTGTGACAAATCACGACCGGCCATAACTTAACTCGCGTTTTGACGGCGGCCGTTACGAAGCCAATCTTTATCGCATTAGAAGGGACTATGT